GGTCATAATTTCTTCGTTATAACTCGGATTTCGGCATTCTTTATATATCCGTAATCCTTGTCACGCCCACTACAAGTTTCTTAATAGATATCGGCTTTATCTAATATTTAATTTTGACGCTCATTTTTATTCTTAATTAATTAAACCCTAATAATTAAGCATAAAACACATAATTTACATAATATTCACATAATTCCTTTTCATTTCTTCTAAATGAGTTACAAAGGTTAACCTAGACCATTATGTCAATATTAATGCCTAGCCTAGAAACACGGGCGTTACATAGACTCACCGAGTTTGCTCGGTAATCAGGAAATGTTGGGGACCACGATCCAACTCGCCGAGTTGGATGAACAACTCGTCGAGTTCCCTTTTGTCTAAATCCATTCAGTCGCTCCCAATCGAGTCCAATGCTTCCAAACCATAGATCTGGTCCCCTAGGACTGAGTTACCACGTAAAGTTGCTAACTTTACGTCTATGCATGGTGTTATGGAGCTAAAAACACCAAGACTAAGCTTCATAAGAGGTCTAAGGCATGGAGGAGAGCCAAGGCTTGATAAAGCTGGAAACTTTAAGCCTCATAAGTCCATGAGTAGCTAGATCTGAAGTCATAGCTTCATGATATACTCAGAATCCGAAAAATAACTTCACTATGGCCAAAAATGACAAAATGCAACCCTAGATGAAGATCTAAGTAATGAAAAGCCAAGGTATCAACTTTATACCTCAAATGAACCAGAAATGGAGCTCAACTTCTGGATCCACTCTCCTCCTACATGTCCTTTCCCCTTCTTCAAAATCACCAAGAATGCACAACAGTGGCTCAAAAACTCTCAAAGGTAGATTAGGGTTTCGTAACTAGGGTTTGGGATGATGGAGGTTGTAAATGAGGCCAAGCTTTGGAGGTACAACTCGTCGAGTTTGGGCCTCCAACGCGTCGAGTTTCTATACAAAAATGAATAAATTATAATTTTAAATACATACCAGGAACCGGACGTTACACTTATCCTAGTGGGAGACTATTGGATTAGGTGTCCAAGCCCATTACTATAATTGGTATATACTATAATTGATAGTAGCTCAATCCTTTTGGGTTGCCCTCATACCTAGTAATTGAATATGATAACTTTTAGAGAGAGAATGATTTATTAATTTATTATATGGTTAATAAATTAATTATAAATCAAATAGATAATTTTTTAATATATTATGAGAATAATATATTAATTAGAAATAGTAATATTTAATTAAGAACTAATCAGAAATTAATTGGAATTAATTTTGGGATTAAGTGAATTAATTATAATTACATGGGTTAAAGTGTAATTGTTCAATAGTTGAGCAAAAGACATTCTAGAACCATCCTAGAGCCTTGGACGATTTTAGGAGGTGTCTAGGGATTCTAGAATTATCCTTGAAGGATAATTAGGAAGTTGGATAATTACCAAAAGAAAATAGAGTAAATTACACGAATGGTCCCTTTGTTTTAGGGTAATTTGTGCATTTGGTCCCTAACTTATTTTTTTAACTCGGAAGGTCCCTATTGTTTTTTTTGTTACGCGCTTGGTCCCTTTCTTACCTAAAAAGACTATTTTGCCCTTGATTTTTTAATTTATTTAAATAAACACACCCCCAACCCCACCCCACCCCTCACCTTATCTTACCTACCCACCATTTTTTCCTATTTTAATAATAGTCTTTTTAAGTAAGATAGGGACCAAGCGCGTAACAAAAACAAACAGTAGAGACCAAGCACGTCACAAAAACAAACAGTAGGGACTTTTCGAGTTAAAAAAAATAAGTTAGGGACCAAGCATGCAAATTACCCCAAACCATAGGGACCATTCGTGTAATTTACTCAATAAAATAATATTATTTTATTCTTTTTAGGGTTATTTAGGATTTGCTTGTTGCGCTATATAAAGGTCCCTATAGTTTGCAAATTTTGGCCACTCTATGATTAGAAGAGAAATCTGAAATTCTTACCTCTCTCCTCTATCTCTTCAAGCCCTTTGTTGCTAGGGTTTGAGTGTGAACCATTAGAGGCACGATACTTGTGGTGTTTGTTTCCAAGAGTCTTTGAAGATGGTTTTTGATTAGTTATTTACTACAATAACTAAAAGGTAAGTAAACCCTATTTTGTTTTGTTATATTCAAAATTACCTAGGGTTTATAGATTTTTGTTGTTCAATAGAATATTACTTCAATAGTGTTATGACATAGATCTTTAAGTTGCATGTACCCTTAAGTGTTAAGGATTTATCCGCGTTAATACATATAAAACCCATCAATGACATCTAGTTTAACCTTTTTATGTTACGTTATGGTTTTCAAAACAATACTTAACTTCCACGTTTTTACTATGAAAATGTCAATGTGATATGAAAAGAGGATCTTATGATTTGGTAATGAATATGAATAAAACCTTTTGGTAAAACTTATACTATGATTTTAAAAAAAATCATGGTTAAGTTTTTGGGATATTACAATAGCATGCCAATACAAGTTTCAAATATGTATGAGATAAGGTAGTCACGATAATGTTACCAAATTAGCCTCAAGTGTTCTGTTTAGCTATTTTAGTTGTATATAGTGGTGGCTCGGAAGAGGGTCTAATGATACAAGTGCTTTACTTATTGGTAATATAATAGTAATTTTGGAGTCAATTGTACCATTTTATTTGTTGGGATTGACAACCTAACAATAAATATGTCATAAGAAATTTGTAAATGATTAGAAATCAACATTCAAAAAAGTTTGTTAATGAGATTTTGATTATATATTTCATGCTTCCAATTCATCCAACAACAACATTATATCTTATTCAAGGGTTCTTGTATACCTTTCCCCATAAACCCTTGCTTTAACAGATATATAAGGTAGAAACACACCACATCCTCAGTAGAAAAAGTTACCAAAATTGTTTGCCCTAAAAAGGTCCGTGAAAATCCATAATTGACACGTTATCGTTACATTTTTTTTAACACCAATCTTTCAAACTTAAGTAGTCTTGTATTTTCATCGGCTGGTAGTTGGCCATATCTCATTCTAGTCATCAAACAAACATGATCAAACATGAATATTAGTTAATGATCGTCTACCCTAAATAAAAATTGTTGGTTGAGCAACGGTGGATTAGGTTGGACCGCACTATTGAAACCATTATCCACAAGAAAAATGGTTACCAATTGTCGTTAGTAGGTCAAGCCAAGATCCAATACATGTTTGACTAAAAATCTTTCTTTTTGGACTACAATCAACCTTCTCTTTATAGTAATAGTTGTGTGTTTTTAACGTTAAACGAGTGTCCTAGAATAACCAATGTTGTAAAAATTATAAAAAAGGAAAAAGAAAGTTAAGTTTTCGATAATTTCACAAAATACAGTTTAGCTTGCACATAAAAAAGGCATGATAAATCATTTAGAACCTATGATTTTTCGAACCAAGGAAATTTCATAAACAAATTTTGTACCATATAATTTTTGAAAAATCGTTCATAGCTTTACAACAAAAATTTTCAACCCATTCATCATTTTTGAAGAATCAAAATTATATAAATGACAAAAACTGTTTAAGGCTATCTCAAACCTTAACACTATTTTTTTTACACTATACCTATAATTATAGTGTAAAAGATAGTGTAAACACTAAATTTCTCTAACCCATTACACAATATTTAACACTAAAAAGAATATTTATGTATATTCTTTTTTATCCAACTTTTATAATTTTACGAAAACAACCTTTATATTTATTAGTTTTATAAACATGACTAATATATTTTTATTACAAATGTTTAATAAATTATATTATCAAATATTTATGAACAAAAAATCCATAAAATGTTTTATTAAATAAAACAAAGTTACATTTGACACAAATCTAAATAAATAGCACACATGCATTTTGAAAATATTACACATACATTTTTAAAAGTACCATACAATTATGCATTTTGAAAATATTACACATACATTTAAAAAAAGTACCACACCAACTTGATAGTGGATCCAAACATCCGAACATATGTTTTTGCTGAACAAGAGCGAATTTTAAACAAAAGGCATCCGAACATCACCAAAATCAGCAAACTCCCAACACATATTCGTTTGGACAATATTTAACGGTCTTGGAGGATCCAAATCTCGCTTACTAGATTACTAATATTGTAATATTACATATGCGTATTGTGTGCGTTTTTAATTTCTAGGATTGTAATATATATATATATATATATATATATATATATATATATATAATATATATATATATATATGTCGCTTGTGCTTGTATAACATTTATAAGACTGTAATATATAATTATATTTTTATTTCAATATCTATAGCATTTTAAATTATTAAATATGATAACACAAATAACGTTATTATATAAACATTATAACTATATAAAACAAACAAACATAACTAAGTTCAAAGTTAAAGAGTCAAATTATATAAATGAAATTTCAAAACTATATTTAGTGTTGATGAATAGTGTAACACTATATTTATATTTAGTATTACATTATTTACCAACACTATATATAATGTTAGATATAATGTAGGGTTGAAACATTATAATGTAATTTGTAATGTAAAAATGATTTTTTAGTGCAAGATTGGAGATGCCTTAATATAATGTGTAACGTGTTTATACACGTAATTGACTAATCATCAAACATTTTACGAAAAACTTATGCAAATAACATATTAAACAGATTTGGAAGACGATGAACAAGTTCAAAAACCTTTTTATGATTTCCGAAATTGTTTTTCAAAATGTTTTTTTTTTCCCAATGAATAAAATAAATGAAGGGTTCTCATTACATGTTTGAAAAACATGATGATCTTTTTTAAAATTTAAAGTGTTATTTTAGTTACCATGGACATAAAATGATTTCTTTATGGAGAAATTATGACATAAGACAAAAACACCCAGGCCTTAATTGATTGGACTCCTTTAATTAATTAAGCTTAAAGCCAAAACTAAAAGGCATCAAAGACAAACACGCTATTCGCTTCGCAAACACCAAATTCAGAACTAACAACATCCACAAAACCACTTCAATTCTTCTCCTAAATCCCACACATTCCGGTTTTAGAAGTTAAGTATATGTTCTTGAGAATCAGTTCTCCACCCGTAAGTTCTTCCTTCTTTTCTCTCGAATCAACCATTTAATTGGAAGCCAATCACGGGTTTTCTTAATCCCTTCGTTTTCTCACTTGGGTTGATGTCCTAATCATGTTTTAGGTCAAGTAGATGGCAGAAGAAGAAGAAACCGACGATAAGTTAAGGAGTTGATTTTTCTTCATATGGGTCATGCTCTGTTTTTCTTTGAAGATGTAACGAGGATTAAGGATTTGATTTTGAACTGAATTTGAATTTGAATTTGAAAATGGGGAGGGGAACTAGAGAAATAAACCCTGATTTTTTGAAAATTGGGCTTGCTGTAACTTTTTCTCTTGGCGGGATGCTTTTTACTTTTATCAGAAATAAAAGGATCAAACCCTCAAAATCTCCATCTGATCCTTCTAAATCTCCAGGTTTGTGTGTGAAAATTTTATTTGATTCATGTTTTTGATGAACATATATGTGTTTTAGATCGTAATAACCAGGTGATTTCAGGAAACGAATCAGGGGGTTCAAAAAGTATTGAGCGTCATGCATCACATACACGCCATTTTGATCCTTTAGCAACTACGGATAAACATGTAAGATTCTTTATTGTACTCATATGATCTAATTTCAGATATTTCTGATTTTTTATGTTTTTTGATTCTTGATTGGTTTTATGCTAATAAAACCCCTCTTGTAACTTTTTGTTCTAACTTCGTTGAAGAAAAATAGTAGACAATTTTGACTTTTTGTGGTCAAAGTGTTCAATTCTCAATTCCAAGTTCAATACGATTCTTGAGATTTGAAGACAACATTGATGATTCTATAAAATTCCCTTACAAATACATTAAACTGATAATGGTTGGGTTTCGATTTGTAAGATAACTGATAGTAATTTTGATCTCGATAAATAATAAGTTTGACTTCAGATTTTGCAGGATGAGTTGCATGATTCCAGGTTGAATCCCCATAAAGACACATATCTTCTACCTGAATTCATCGACCTCGTGAAAGAATTTGATACAACTTCCATGAAAACCAACACCGAGCTTCCAAATCCACGTGTCATAAAAGACAACAACGAGCAAGAAATCAAAAACCTTCGAAACATGGTCAAAACCCTAAAAGAACGAGAGAAGAGTCTCGAGATTCAATTACTCGAATACTACGGTCTCAAAGAACAAGAAACTGCAGTCATGGAGCTTCAAAACCGCCTTAAACTAAACACCATGGAGGCTAAGCTTTTTAATCTCAAGATCGAGTCCTTACAAACTGAAAACAAGAGATTAGAGGCACAAATGGTGGATTATACGAAGGTTTTAGCGGATCTTGAAGCAGCAAAAGCGAAAATTAAAGTTCTGAAGAGTAAACTTCGAGTGGAAACCGCACAGAATAAGGAACGGATCTTGAATCTGCAACAACGAGTTGAAAAAATGCAGGACGATGAACACGAAGGTGTTGTTGGGATTGATCCAGATGTTCAATTAAAGCTCTGTAAATTGAAGGATTTGGAAGATGAAGCTGAGGAATTGAGGAAGTCGAATTATAGTTTGCAGATTGAAAAATCCGAGTTGGCTGAAAGATTGGAGATGGTTCAGAACCTCACGACAGCTGTCTTAGAAGACGAAGAAGTAAGATATTCATCCATTTTCTTCTTCAAAACACAAACCACACAAGATGCATATTGCGTTCTAACAAACATGAATGGATGACGAATCAACAAATTGTTCTGTTTGTCCCGTTTTTTCATTTGTTTTTCTTATTTCATTTTTTGCAGACGGAGAGGCTTAAACAAGAACGCGAGCGTTTGAAGCAACAAAACGAAGATTTAAGCAAAGAAATCGAGCAACTTCAAGCCGATAGATGTGGCGATGTGGAAGAACTTGTGTATCTTAGATGGATTAACGCTTGCTTAAGGCACGAACTTAGAAATTATCAACCGGGACCAGGTAAAACAATGGCTCGAGATCTTAGTAAAACATTGAGCCCTAAATCGGAGGAAAAAGCTAAACAGCTCATCCTCGAATACGCTAACAAAGAAGGATTTGGGGAAAATGGCATGAACATTCCAGTTCCTGAACTGGATTCCGATCAATGGTCGAGTTCTCAAGCTTCTATCCTCACGGATTCCGGCGACCTCGATGAATCTCTAATCGACGATTCATCTTCTCGTAAGACCCACAATAGGTTCTTCGGAAAGCTCATGAAGCTCTTAATAGGAAAAGACAGCCATAGCCCTAACCACCTCCCCCACCTCCACCCTCACCACCACAACCGCCATCTCAGTCATAGTAGAAATTCGTCAGTAGAAGATATGAATTCTTATAGCGATTCGTCTTTTGGGCATTTAGGGAGTTCTTTTAAACACTCTGTGGATTCTCAAAAGTCGATTAATGGGCATAGTGACGTTGGGGGGTGGATGTGTAGCAATAGACGGATTGATTCCATTGCAGAAGGCGAAGGGATTGGTGGTGGCGGTGGTGATTCCTCGGATACACCTTCTTCGTCGGATGGTAAAAGATCCGAGCTGGTGAAATATGCAGAAGTTTTGAGAGACTCGAATCCCACTAGATTTCACCGAAGATCTGCACAGTTTAGTTCGTTTTGATCCATTTATTCTTCTTTATAGGTAGCTTAGTTAGAAATCCAATAGCTGATTTTATATGCTTACAACATAGAAACTAGAAATCACCCTCTTAAACTTAAACTTGTGTTATATGTAAAATAACCCTAGGAAAACCACAAATTTGATGTCAATGGTGTTTTTGACTTTTTGTTTATCATTTTATTGGGGAATGTATCATAGAGTGGAATTTGTACACGGAAGACTACAACCAAAGTAGATTATGAATATGATTATGAGTATGATAGTTTGTCGTTTCAAAAAAAAAAAATGTGGAAGACTATAAGGTATATTTCGGGTATTGTTTATTATAAGACTATGGGTAGAATTGACAAAACTCAATCCTACCCGTCAATCTAATCCAACCCAACCTAAAGATAGAAGGTTGGGTTAGTATTTTTGATCCATTTAATTAAATGAGTTAACCCGTTTAACCATTTATTAAATAAGTTGGTTTGGATAAAAATTATCAATAATTTTTCAACCTATCAATTCAATTATCTTTAATATATTTAATTAACAAAATGTTATATTAGCCCAACGAACTTGTCATGTTTGTCTGATTTGGTCACCAAAGTTATTTTTCTGCGCAACAGGTTAGTAAACTTACATATTTGTTGTCAATTACAACATTTTAAGAGTTGTGAAGGGGCCATCCATTTTCTTTTGCTTATTTGGCATTTATTAAATAAAGATTTTATTTGTCACTGCCACCTATATAATGTTACGAGGCCCATAATAAAATTAGGTTTTTTTCTTCCAAACAAGGTATGTTCACCCCGGTGAACTCCAATTACCCATATTCTCTCAAAATCGATCGACAATCATCAAAAGTCTCAACTCGTTCACTTTCTTTCGCCCTTTTTTTCTCTTATATAAATCGCCAGACCAAAGGCCATGATGATGCTTCATCGTCGGGAGATGTACCTGAACTGCGATAGAGCAAATTTGTCACGGCTGAGAAATGTGAGGTTGTGAATGAATCGAGTCTGGATCTGCAGTGGAAGTCGTGTGATGTAAGGGCATGTAATAAGTTATCAAATCTGTTCGAATGAAGGTTAAATAAAAGAATATAGGGTTTTCTGACATTTCAGAGCAACAGTTGGAGATAAACGAAGATGATGATGGTTCTAGTGGAGTTAGGATTTCAAATGATTTGTTTGTGCGGAATGAGAGTGAATAGGAAAAGGATTTGAGAGCGATGAAGGAACATATCGAAATGAAATTGTTGAACAAAGAAGAGGAATTTCTGGGATGCAACCCAAAACTACCGGCGACCACCAACATCGACTTAATTGGAGGTAACTTCACTCAACGATCCAACAAAAAGCCCCTTCAAAACTAATCGATTTTGCTTGTAATTTTATGTAATTTGTTGGATCATTAAGAATGTTGATCCTCTGTTCGTCCGATAAGTACCTGCAAAAAATATTTAATCCACAACTTTAAGCACAAAACTTAGCGAGTTCCCCTAAATATCGCATACAACACATCATAACAATCAACTACGAGTTATCAGCAACCCTGGGGACTATCAACAGTCCCAGTGAGCTAATAGCATGTCATGTGGATTAACAACACACCTCATGGGTTATCAGCAACCCTAAGGACTATCAATCGTCCCATAGACTCATAGTAGTCTAGGACTTATCAGCAACTCGGTTCACATATGACAACAATCAACAAAATAAGACCCAGATGGTCAACCAGCATATACTACTACACATGCAAGTATAGTGAGAAGACTCACCTCGGAATTAGCAACTAAACACCACAACTCTCACCCAACAAAGAATGATTCTACATGGAACCTAACAACAATAAAGAGTACCCTCTCAGTCTACACTTCAAAACCCTTAGTTTGACCAAAAGTCAACTAATGCCGAAAGTCAATTGTCAAAGTCAAAGTTAACAACCAATAAAACTAACAGATGACCCTCACATAGTGACCAGACCGTGGTCACGTCGTGCGAACGCACTACGACATGAACCCTCCGTGGTCACATCGTGAACACAACAGGACAAGATAATCCCGGGATTCTCCATTGTCACATCGTGATACTCTTCAGGTCACGACGTGACCATAGTCTTAAGCAAAATCCTAATGGTTTGAGTCCTTAATCCATTAAGTCTTCAACCCTAACTTTCCAAAAGGTTTTAAGGGACTCCAAAGGTCCATAAAAATGACAACTTTATGGACATGCATGCTCCATGCATGTCCTCTACCCATCCTAGGTCAAAAGGCAAGAAAATGACCAAAACTTCATGCAAGATTCAAAATTCACAACCAATCCTTAGATCCATAAGCTATGATGCTCAAGGGACTCTTTAGGATCATAAAATTGTCAACTTTATTCCATCCATTCACTCAAATCAAAACCATGAACCAAAAAGGGACCAAAACAACTTAGATATAAGAGAATAACTAATAAAGGTAGAAGCTTGAATCCTCGAAAATGGTCCAGTAGATGATATCAAAGATGAGAAAGTGTTGCTTGCTTGATCCTTGCACCAATCCTCCTTCTACTTCCTTCAAAGAGCAGCAAAACCACTAAAATGAGCCAAAACCACCAAGATGAACTAGGGTTAGGGTTTTCTGAGATTTGAGGGAGATAGATGCTGAGAAATGAACCCTAAATCCGAGTTTAGGGTGCTTAAATACGAAGGAACCCTAAAAGGTCATGGGTTGGGCTGTAGCCCTCTTCACGTCGTGACCACTCCTCCAGATGTGTGTTCTTATTCTACATTCTTCACGTCGTGACTCATGGTTGTCATGCCTCTGACTCCTTAATTCCGCACACTGACCCACTATGGAAATCGGGTGTTACAACAATGGAGCGGATTTGGAGCGAATCGACCTTGATCCAAACCCATTAAGCAATTTTCAAATGCTGATCCAAAACCCGAACCATAACCCTCATGGTTTTGAATAATTAAAATCATATCCTTATCCTCTAGATCAAAGGGTTTCAACCCTTTTACCCAACCCATTTACAATATTAAGATTATGCTATAATTATGAAACGTCCCAAAAATATGACCCAAAAATTTCATTTTTAATTTAAATAAAACAGTAATCCAAAAACATTATCCATACAACCCAATTGGAAATAAGTGTATCAACATCATATAAATCATAGTAACATCTCAAAAGCGGAAACCATGTGGTGTGTGCGATGCAGTCATCCCGAGCTCTTCCCCTTGGAACCAGAAGTACCTGAAACATAAACTGAAAACCGTAAGCACAAAGCTTAGTTAGTTCCCCAAACTACCCCATACCATACATAATAAATCACATACTGGGACCCCACCCTACATCGGGCCTCGCCCTACATCGGGCCCCGCCCGACATCAACCCCCGCTCGGTATACAAATCTATTATTCTTAGGCCCCGCCTGACATTGGGCCCTGCCTACCATACAAATACAACACACACACATACATATAATAATAAAAATAATAATAATAATAATAATAATAATAATAATAATAATAATAATAATAATAATGCTAACACACACAATGATCATAAAACAATATCATATGTTTCAGTCATCGGGCCTTGCCCGGCATCGAACCCCACCTGGTATACATAGCAGCACATAATACATGCAAGGGTCACGCAGATTCCTAGTATCTTAGCATAATCAATAAGGGCCGACATTGGTGCCTTAGACCCGCTAAACCCAGTGAGGAAACTCACCTTGACTGCTGAATCTCACTGAAAATCCCTAGCTGCTGCCATGACGAACCCTCGAGCTATCAATATAAAATAGCACCCAATTAACATTTGGGTTCCAATCTAACAATCCATACTTGGGGTAAAAAGACATTTTACCCCTCACCTAGTTTGGTCCAAGACTAAGGCCCACACTCAATATCTAAAAGGCCCAACACCAAATAGTCATCCAAAGCCCACTTATGGCCCAATTTTCCAAATTGGGCCCAAACCCCTATATGGGCCTTACTCTAAAGCCCAACAGTTTTTCCTAGTCCAAAATACTTGTACTCAGGTGGCCCAACAGGAACCAAAACATCCAGGCCTAATAAAATGGTCCAAACTTGAAGCCCAACAGACTGAGTATGCGGGGCGTACTGAGTTGTACGCTAAGCGTACTTGCTAAATGGCTTGTACGCCGTGCGTACAGACTTGTACGCCCAACGTACTCACCCAAAAAGCCAATATCCACATTAAGCAATTAATGCTTAAGACCAAAAGCCCAAATCACAGATCTTAGCCCTAATAAACGTCTAGAACCATAAAGTCACTGACTTGGTGACTTTACATGCCCCAAAAGATCCTAACTTCAAGATATAGCATTTTAATTTCACAAAATGGGCATAAACTCATGCATGGATAGATCTAAACCTTAAAGGTGACAACTTTATGCATCTAGAACCTCAGAAACACCAAGAGTGGCAACTCAAAGCTCCTGGAGTGGTATCAAACCACTAGATCCCATTTTTGGGGCCAAAAGGGACCACAACTCACATATGATAAATCTAAGCCACTAATGAGCAAGTTCATAACATTTTACCTCAAACAAGCTGGAAATGAAGCAAATAAACGAGATCCACAAGCTCTTCCTTGATCCACCACCTTGCACCAAGCTTCTACTTCTTGAATATGAACCAAAACACACCAAAATGAACACAATGAACTCAAAACACAAAGGAGAGGCTTAGGGTTTCGTGCTGGAGGCTATAGGGACAATGGAGGCTGAGAAATGACGGTTTCATAGTTGTTAGGCGTGTCAGACCCAACAAATAAAGGGGTACGATATACTCCTAAAAACACTACTATATTGCACTAAAAGGTAGTACAAGGCAAGCAGGGTCGAACCACAGAGACACGAGACAAAAGTCTATACCTCTTCGCACAAGGTACTTTGGTCACAAATGGGGGGTTTTGTTTGCAAAAGTAAATAACTAAATAACAGTCTACTTTAAAAGCATGCACAAAATGAAATAGATTTGTAAACAAATTGTAAAAGTGCTTCCAGTTCTAGTTCTCAATGTTGTTGTTCAACTTGATTATGACTTGATGTAATTCATGATTGCTATTCTAAGTTGGTACTGAAAGATATTAACACGCTCTAATACCTCTCGCTTGCCAAATTATCTAACCAAAACACGCTCTTTGACTAGACCTAGCTTTACTAATTCAACCTAAACACGCTCTTAGATTGCATTGAAAAACTGCATTAGGTTTTATACAAGC